AGGAAACGTACCTTGTCCGCCTCGCGCATGTCGGCCAGACACAGCCAGAGATGGTGCTCCTGGACCACCATAGTGGACATCGCACGACCCAGAGACCGCGCCGTAACCTTCGTCGCTCATAGCGCGAGGTCCGTCATGGTGTGGAGCTCCTTGAGAACTTCCGGGTCGTGACCACCCTCATGCAAGTTCCTCAGTGCCTTGGCCTGGTGTACTTGCAGTAACGCCGAAGCGTGTAAGGTGGACGCAGCTTCTCCACAGGCCGTATACGCACTGCCGATTAAAGCCGACGAGTGCCTACAGGCTCGGGAGGGGAGCAAAGGTTTGCCCCGCCAAGTGGTAGCGGCATTTGGACACAATTGCATCGCAACAGACCGCTCCACCTGGGGAACTCCCGTATACCCCTATGCTGGACCGGGGCTTCTGGCAGTAAAAGGTGCCGTCCATGACCCAGTGATCTCATCATGCACCTCCAAGAAGAAAGGCACTGGGGTGGGGCCCTGAGAACCAGCGCGGGCCACCCCGAGAAACCAATCGTCCAACCTTGAGGGTTCGGGATGCGGTGGAAGATTCCACTCGAGCCCGACTCTCTCGGCGGCCCGGGAAAGCATAGCCATCATTTCCGGGTCCGTATCCGGCACCGCTGGCCGCCCAGAGGGCGTCAACGCTGATGGATCTTCATCCCCAGAAAAGTCTGGCTCACCCTCCGATGCTGCGACCGACATCCGATCGTCGGGGGGAGCCTTGGAAGAAACAGGTGGTATCCCCCGGGAGGATCCAGCCTGCTCTCTCGAGGGCTCCGCTGGCTTCGAAGTGCCGGCTAGTTCGGGCATCCCCTTCCTTGTAGGAGGGGAATTCCTCACCGTGACCGTGAGACCAGTCCACCCACTGCCAGAAAAAGGGTGCCCCCGGCTGCCACCAGAGGGAACCCCAGATCTAGGCAGTGGCAGTGGAACTAAAAACACAAATGTTTTGATTTTTAAGGGTGAAAATAAAAGTGTGGAGGTTTGAACACTTATAGTATCTGAGAGATCTGTCTATCTAAAACTCAGACAGTTTCTTTTTATTTCTTTTTTTTTAATTGCTAATAATTTATTAATTATATTACATACTATTTGTGTTGTTTTTCCCCATTGTTCCACACTCTAGGCAGCCAATATGCAACTGAAAGCCAAACTCCAATATCGGTCTACAGTATGTCAGCTCATTGGCTTACAGCACAGGCTAAAGACACTGCCCCTGCTGGCCATATTGTGGCAGAGCTGCTTCATTTAGCCTACCCTTGATTTTATTGCCCTAGGACTGCTTCACTGTAGATTGCTGTCATACCAAATCATAGAGGCTTTGCTGATATAAGCAATCTTTAACAAATGTATATGTAAAGAATGAAGAATCTGTAAAGTAAAGGTTTTGTGCATTTATGTGTGTATTTAATGCGTCCAGGGTTTTTTTTTCTCTCTCAAGGTCTCTCAAGTTTTTAACAAGTGATTATTTTATTATATAAAAAAAACTTTAAATGTGTTTGTAAATTGTAGATATATGGGATTACAGTAATTACATCATCTGTCTGTGAACAGGTGATGACACCATGACAGGTGATGGTGGGGAATATTTGAGAGCAGAGGATTTGAGAGAGTTAGGAGACGACTCTCTACCTGGGCAGTACCTGGATGGTATGAACTACTTACGCTTCAGTTTAGAAGGAGGCCGATCAGACAGGTACGTTAGTTTTGATACTTAATGAAATACAAGTTGACAAAAAAAAGTGTTATACTTGTTTTCGAAAACCTGCTATTTTCTTATAGTGCAATTTGTCAAACATAAAATTGGCAAATTGGCATTTTTCATATTCAGTTCTCACTTTCTTTCAGAATACTTACATTTCCTTAGTATAGCTCAAACATAACAATGTATAATTTTAAATGCTTTATATTTAAATGTATAAATGTATTTGTAACTCACGTATTCTTCTTTCTGCTAATGCTGACATAGTCGCTTACAAAGGTATGTGAGGAACTCTGCACTCTCTACGTATCAGTGATCATATTAAAGATGATCCCACTATTTTTGTTCTAATACAGTGTATTTTTAGAACTAGTTGCTACTTGAATGTATACATTTTTATCACTAATGATACTACCATGACTTTAACACAATCTGTATTGTATAAAGTGGTACATAAATAAAGGTAAAAGAGGACAATCTATTGATTGTGTAAACTGTATGTTTTTCTTTAGTTTGGACAGGTCCTACACACCCACTCACCAAAGTTACTACCCTGCAAGACACTATGGGATGATGGAGGATATGATATACAGCAACCAGGTAAAGTTCAGAATTTTTTCATGCATGTATATTTTTTTTAATTGTAAAATAATGTTTTATATGAAGGCATTTGTTTGTGATACCCTGTGGTGGCCTTCAAGAATTGATATGATTACTGAACAGATTAGTAAACTTTTTTATATATAAATATACAAGTTTTTAAAGATTCTGGATTTCATGTCTGTATTAGTAGATAAAGCCCCAATTTTAACAAAGATGTCTTTATCCACTCCAGGTGTCTTTACTTGCAAGAGAAAATGAAAAGGACTCATATAGCTGGGAAACAGAAAACTTGGACAACATAGCACTTTCATCAAGTCCTGCTCATTCCGGGTATGGAAAACAACTTCATGCTCTCCATCAAACACTCTCTTACTCACACATACAAGTACTGTAACTCTTTGTATTAATGGTCAATGTGGAAACAAAATTGAATCTGTTTACTTTTTTACATGTTACTAGTCTTATTGGCATTGCCTTGGTATTAAAAGTAAAAAAAAAATGCATTAGGGATGCACTGATACCGATACTGGTATCGGTATCGGACCCGATACTGAGCTCCTGTACTTGTACTCATTAAAACGCCGATACCAAACGCCGATACCACACAGCATGTGATAAGCGCCATATTCAGACACAGAAACACCAACAACAGAACAACAGACAGTAGAATGGAGTTAAGGATGTCTACTACGAAGTATATGTATGCAATGAATATAACGTTAAACATTCAGTATTAACGCCTGTATAGCTGATGTGTGCGAGCTGATAAACAAAGCACGCTGATTGGATTGAGTGCGCAGATGCGCGAGCTTGTAGAGTGAATATCCCTTTCTCACAGACATCACTGGAAAGTTTGTAGTTCGGTCGGATATGTCAAAAACAATAAGTAAAACAATGGATAAGTTACTTAACGGTAGAGAGAGCGAGAGAGAGATAGCGCGCACTTCTGTTGTGTGATCTTTGATGTTCACTCACTTAGCACACGCATCATTTGGATTAAAACTAAATCGTAAAAATAAGACCATTCATAGGGGCATTCACTATAAACATCATTTATTTTAAACCTTAGGCATACACGACTTTCTGGAGAAAGTGAATCTAGCCTCTGTGAAATGCGCTAGGCTGTACTTGTCCCTCTCATTCTGCACCAGTACAAATACGTGCCCGCGTTGCGCGTGTTTTGCTTGCTTGAGCGTTTCTGCATTATATGAGTGGCTTTGGAATATAAATCGCAGCACGTTTCAGATGAAAACTTCTTCTATTTCTGAAAATTAGTTCAGTTAGGAGATTTATAGCGAGTGGTTCCCTGCATTATTACAGCAAAGCGCATGATTGCAGTACTAAGCCGCTGCATTGGAGCAGCTCTAATGCTATTAAATTAAAGATGATGTAACATAGAGCAAAAAAAATGAACAGTGAAAGTAACAAAAACTTGTAAAATACATTTTAATGGGCATAATTAAGTGTGAAAATAACCGAAGGATATACAGTCAAACCAAAAATTATTCAGCGACCAGATATAATTTTTGATATTTTTTTACTAGTGGGTGTAGGACATTTATGTAAATTGAGGATAGTAAAATAAAGTAAACTGTGACAAATCATACCCAAAAAAATTTCATACAGTGGACTACCAGTAAAACTGATACAAATTTGGGACCAAAAATTATTCAGACCGAGTCTGGGAAAAAAAAACTGAAGTTCAGGTTTGCATGAAGCTGGGTGACAGCATGCCCAGGAGACTACAGGCTGTCATTAAGGCTAAGGGTTGCCCGACTAAGTATTCATAGTTGTGTAAATACTGTCATACTAACAGCTGTCTGAATAATTTTTGATTGATTTTAATCTATTACATACCTTTCTATCAAAGTTATCTAACTTCATCAAGCTGAATTTGTTCTGACACAGTTTAACTCTGAGTTCTTGTCATATTTTATTACCATTTTATAAACTATAGTGAATAAACTGTGATAATGTGTGAGAAATGTTGAAGGTGTCTAGATATATTTTGGTTTGACTGTATCTATTTGATAAATGAAGTTAACCAACTAACATTATACAAACTCTTTTGATTTCTGTACCCAATATTTAAAACATTTACAAATGCAATGAAAATATTGGTATCGGTACTCGGTATCGGCAAGTATAAAAAAAAAAGTATCGGTATCGGGAGAGTACTGGAAAAAGTGGTATCGGTGCATCCCTAATATGCATATATAATCTGCACACATTTTTAACAACCAGAAACTTGTAGGATGGTGGCCTTGAAAATGCAAAGTTACTATATCACTTCTCACTTACTGTAAGTTCCTCTGTTTTTCAAACTTCATTCTCTCTTTCTGACTTTTTCTCTCTGATGGATGGTATTTTTGGTCTCCAGCCGTTGTTCTCCATGTCATGACCATGACAATAGCAGGTGACTGCAATGTGTCATTTGACCTCAGACCTCCTCTGCTCCTTTCAGTGTGCATTCTGCACAGGAATCACCTAGTCTGCCATCTTCTTGCTATGCCTTTTGGATTATTACAATTTGTAATAGGCATGTGTGTGTGTGTGAGATACACACGTATTTACTCCCTAAAGATGCTAAAAGGCACTGCAAGTTTGAAGTCATCTGAATGTTATTTGTCATTTCACAAACATTTCTTGGAGACTAACACAGTATTTGTCTGTTTCTCATTTGTTTTTAATCTATGTTTAATCATGGATTTTGTGACAGACAAAACTTACCAAGTATAATGTGATATTACACCATTACTGTAACATACTATTATTATTATTATAAATTATTATTATTATTATATATTAACAATATATACAAAAAATAAATGCTTAATTTTAAATTTAAATGTATCAAAGATACATACCTATACAAATTGAGCCATAAAAAAAGAACAATAGTAGATTGTGCATTTTGTTTCAGGAACAGAAAATAGCCTGTGATCATTTGTTTAATGCTGACCTGCATTCTGTGAGGATTGATTTTAAAGAATAAGAAAGCTTGTGTTGGTGTACAAAGATCCAGATTAACCAAGTTAACTACTGAAAGTGAATTAAGTGCATTATCATAGCCAGTACAAAAGTGATTGCATAAGAATTTTAATTCTTGCAAAATTTACATATACTTACATATACTTATGTATACTTTACACAAACATAATTTTCATATACATAAAAATGGGCATTTTTGTTTGCTGTGCGTGTTGTGTCTCTAGGATTGTATATCCACATTTCCAGACAATTTGTGCAGGTGTTGTGTGTGTGTTTGCATGAAAATCAAACACTTATATATGTTGTTTTGATTATGTTTATGTATTTGAATATCCACCGGGATCTCATGGGTATTTGTATGTATTTTACATAGTGTGGTTCTGTAGTTCTGTAGTAAATGTAGTTCTACCACACATGCATTTACTTACGTTTGCATATAAAATAAAATGTACAATATTAACGTATTGATTGCATCTGAAAATGTTGCTAATTTACACATGAAAACTGTATAGGCATGCATATTTACAAACCATTATTTATGAATATGGAATTAATGGTTGATTTTGTATTTATGATCATGGAGGTTATGATTTCAGTTGCATTTGTTTACGGCAGTTGCTCATTTAATTTATTAATGTAACTTGATTCAAAATTTATGTTAATTAAGCAGTCACTTTAAAGATTTAAATATTAATAACATTTTTGGAATTGTTTAACTATGAATTACATGTTTTTGCCATAGGATACATATATTAAATTTATATTTATGAATTTAATTCATATATTATTTTTATAAACAGTGGTTATGTTTAGTTTTAGGTTTAATATGACAGTTTTCATAGGTGTAAATACACAAATAGTGTTTGCATTTTAGATGTTGTCAGTCCATCCATATTGTACATTTCAGTATCTATCCAAACATACAAAAAATATTGTTGTACCTGTAAATGTTCCATACTAATACGTACTTATAAACAATGAGACCAGGCTGGAATATCATGATCACCTTTTGAAGTGACTTTCATGACATGTATATGGTTTTCATTGAAGTGGTTCTTTATTAAACGTTACTAAACTCTTACTTCATCTGAAGGTATGGTGCCTTTTTAAAATAAATTTTAACATTGTACATCCTCAATGCAGTTTCTTAGTCAGCTTCATGGTGGATGCCCGTGGAGGTGCTATGCGTGGATGCCGCCACAATGGTCTACGGCTGATCATTCCACCACGGAAATGCAGTGCACCTACTCGAGTCACCTGTAGACTGGTGAAAAGGCACCGACTGGCCACCATGCCCCCCATGGTAGAGGGTGACGGTCTAGCTAGCAGGGTGATTGAGGTTGGACCCTCTGGAGCTCAATTCCTTGGGTAAGTAGCTATTGGTTTTAGTTTGTTTGGCAGATCGGAGCGTTAGTGAAATTCAGACACAAAAAATAATGTGTATGATTTAAACTCTGAACATGTTATCTTTTTATATTGACTATTAAATTATCATAAATTGAGATGCTAACTTTTAAATCAATGCTCAAAGTAGTCTGGTGCACTGGGCTACACTGGAAACACCAGTATCTTGCACAGTATCTTGTACATTTCTTGCACACCAGTATAAAGGCCTTTCCACACTGAGCACAATGCGAAAAGGCGAGGCGAATCGCCGACATACGCGAACGCGAAACGATTGTTTGCCTTCTGCTAAATCATGCCTGCACGCTAGGTGGCGCCAACCAACAATGCATTTTTCCTCAGATATGTATCTCGTAAATGGATCTAACATCATCTGCTGCTCAATATGCAGCATTAAATTAAGATAAACAAGGTTCTACACCAGAAACAAACTATCTATAATGCTTACAAGAATAGGCTACATCCTAAAATATAGTTAGAAGTACAATTAGCATCAAGCTGCACTTGAAAATGTATGTCATTATTAATGTATATAGTTAATAGTTAATTTTGATTAATTAGCAGACACATGCACTCTTTGTATGTTTAATAATGCTACACTTGTAATATTTGTCATAAACATCCTTTATTGCTATAAAATACCATGAGCTGCATATAAAAAAAACATACAGAAAATATATCGTCATAATCATGTCTATTTGCTTTCATATTTCATGTGTAGAAAAAGAGTTAACGCGCTCTGACTCATAACACTCATGCACATGGAAGAAAACGGATGGTGCTCTACAGATCACATAATTCAGTGGACAATTAATAGAAATGTTATTCTGTATAAAGAGCATGTGAGAATAAATCTGTTCTCAAATACCAACATTAACAAGAACTCAGCATCCACTCTCTTTTCTTATCCGGGATACTTTTCTTCTGTGTTTGTTTACACTGGTTTTCGAAACAGTGCCACCACTCTTGCCTTTTTGTGCAACAGCAGCTGCTCCGGTCACGTGATCCTAGCTCAAATCTTATTGGACGGCCTGTGTTTTCACTTTGTGAAACTGAAAACATTCGTCGGACTGGTTCGAAAAAAACAACATTTGCATTTTCGGTGCGCGAATGTTTGCAGTCTATGTGGAAGCATCCATAGAAATCTATAGTTTTATTCCAGCGCTTCATCGCGTCCGATATTCTTTTCGCTTTTTCGCGCTCAGTGTGGAAAGGCCTTAAACCTGTACTTTCTGAATAAAATGATTATTTTAGATCTGAAAGGACCGTCTAATCTACATGTTAAACCACCCATCACACTTTTCTTGATTTAAGTGACATTTAGGGGTGGGTAATAGACTACAGTACATTGAAAATGGTATTTCAGCAAACGTGATAAAATCTTTTACGTCAGATTATACCCCTCAAACAAAATTGATTGAATTTAAACCATACACTTTTAATTTAAAGCCATGACTGTTTCCGTCAAGCATATCTTTTTGTGAGAATGTTCTGAAATATTTTTTTTTCCCTTTCAGCATTAATGTATACTATTCTTACTTTTACTTAATACTGAAACATACTTAGAATTGCAATGGATACATATTACTGTTGCAAGCAGATATAGAAAAGTGGTGCTGGGGTGGAACAGGGCTAAAGGCCCACAGTACTGAGTTGGACCAGGTTGGGGTGGAAATAAATAAGGTTGCGTAGAAAGGAAACAGATATTGATTTACTGTGTTGCCAGCTTGAAAGATCCAGTCAGCTACCCAGGAGAGTTTTATGACTGAACTATGCATTTGTTTTAATTCCAAATTAGATAAAAGGTTGTTGTCAGTGTAAAATAACAATAAACTGTAAATAGTTATTATTAGTATTATATATAAACTACTAGTTATTTTCAAAGGGAGCAGCTTTTCCAATTTTAACAGTGCTTTGATGAAATATTGTACAATGTTGTTATGGACTTGTTTGCTGCTTTTATTACTCATCTCCTGTCAAAATGACTGATGTTGCTCCTGCATTTCTGTATTTAACAAGGTTGTAACACCTTAAGCTTTGTTAATTATTATTTTATTATTTATTTATTTGCTAAATGGCTTGCAGTGAAATTCATTGTACCAGCAAAAAAATTAATCCTTCTTAAATTGCTCCATGATTGATTTGATATGTTTTTCCCTTGCTGACTAACAATTGATGAATGGAAATCTACATATAGTGCAATTACAGGGCTGTGTCTGATATTTCTCTAAATTCTTATATAGAGCCTTATTTGAGGGGACAGCCATTTGTAGTGGTGTGTGAAACCATAGTGGACATTACAAAGTGCACTTATTTAATTCAATAATACACCTCAGTAGCCAATGCACAACCAATGTACACTCAACAGCTAGTCGATAATGAATACCAAATGCTCTGTCATTGCATCAAATGAAGTCCTCAATCTCGCCAAAAGATGGCATCTGCATATTCTAGTACTCATCCATGTGATGTATTCTCCACATATTAACCTCCCTTCGGGCAGGATGTGGTCTCAGTAGCTTTCCTTCCTTCTCCCATTTGGAAGGACAAGCATTTCTTTAATGCTCTGGTCTGCAGACAACTGTGGGGGGAAAAAAGAACAGAAAAGATCAAAATGACTACACAGGTTACATGGGGCGTTGGTCAGGTTATGATGTAGCCGGGTTTACTTGTTACCCAGCACTCAATTGCTTGCCAACAGCTGGTCTATGAGAGCCTCGTAACTCAGTTCAGTGATTGTGATACTTTCCATGGAGACCCTAATGTCAGTAGTTTAACACAACATCAAAGTGACTGACAGATAGGGAAATTATTGGATAATGTTGATGGAGGGAATGAGATGTATTGTTCCTCCTGCCATAACACAACACAACAACATAATGTCTTGTTCCCCCAATCAGGAAATAGAGGTAACAATAATAACCAAGACCATTTTCATTTTGCATGGAATATCTCTGTAAGGCTTTATTGCAAAGAACATGAGTGAGAAAATTATCATTCAAAATGCACAATTTAACTGTTGTTGCCCAAAAAGTGGAACATGGTGGAACCGACAGAGCAAAATCTCAAGGACAGTGAAGAAGAAGCCTTTCTTTTGGGGGGCACAACTGTTTATATGCTTTTACTACGCATCAGTGGTCCGAAACTGTTCTTCATTCTGAAAATGAAAGAATGTACAGCCTGACTTAATATAAGGGGCCCATCATGTACCATAGGGGCACATGGTTTAAAGGAGAAATAATTTTTATTAGAGGAACCATTATTTTGATTAAGTAGGCAATGTTGCCTGCTTTTACTTGCAGTCATGCAAAATTGAACGTGAACTTGAAGACTGCAGAGTGTCCCATTTGTCCTTTTAGGTTTCAGAAGTGTTCTCACAAGCGCCCCCTTTGTGTACAAGAGATTATGCATGCCATTTGGGACAGGGTTATAGATTCAAATTTGTATGTGAAAATCTAGTAAAAAATAATTTTCCAAATTTTTACTAAATGAACAAAATCATTTTCATTTATATGCAAAAACATCTAGTAATAAACCTAATTAATAAATATACCTATACAGTACATATATGTGACCCTGGACCACAAAACCAGTCATAAGTTGCACAGGTATATTTGTAGTAATAGCCAACAATACACTGTATGGGTCAAAATTATCGATTTTTAAAGATCATGTTCCACGAAGATATTTTGTAAATTTCCTACCCTAAATATATCAAAACCTAATTTTTGATTAGTAATATGCATTGCTAAGGACTTCATTTGGACAGCTTTAAAGGCAATTTTCTCAATAGTTTTATTTTTTTTTGCACCCTCAGACTCCAGATTTTCAAATAGTTGTATCTCTTCCAAATATTGTCTTATCCTAACAAACCATACATCAATGGAAAACACAAACAAAATGTCAGCTGGAGGCTAGCATGAACATGTTTGAATGATGATGCAAGCAAATAGTTGAATAATGTAGTAATGAATATTTGGACAGTTTCAGATTAGTTTGGAAAATGAACTTTTGAAAATATTTGTATTAATGATATTTCTGTTTTAATGCTCCCCATGAGTCATTGGAGTTCCCAGGAGTTTGCATGGAACGGGCATTTAGCATGGTCTTTAAGAAACTAAACTAGGAAATAATTACAATATTAGTTGCTTATTACGTTTATATCTCCAACAAAATAATATATTGCAAATATTTGATATACAGTATATTTGCATGTCCTAAAAGTTACTGATGATTTATTTTATAAAACAAAATTCTAGCATTTGACAATTAATCAGGCAGACAGTGTCAAAATAATCACATGGATTATAAAAACTACAGATTTTACAGTTCTTTTCGAATAACCAGAAAAAGAAAAACCTAATTGCAAAATCTTTTTTAAAAAAGGGAATGTACTCTTACTAAAAATCAAAGAGGAATTTAAACTCTTCTGACTTTTCTATTCTAAATGGAAATGGATCTATGCCATCTATGCTCTCTTTTCTCACTGCTGCTATTGGATGACAGTAAGCTCCATCTTCCTACTGCCCCGCCCCCTCTGAATGAGGGTGAGAGTTTGGTTAGCCGCATTCTGCAACTGGGCCCACCAGGGACAAAATTTCTGGGGTAGGAGTAACACATGAAACAACCAATGGATGCCAGTCCCACACCCCACTTTCTCCTTTCACACTATCTTCCTTTTTAACTGTGTTGTATTTGGTTGTATTCTGCTTTCATTGTAAAGTGTCTCTGTATAGTAGTGTATGGTACTATATGTACACCTTAGTGTCATTTACATTTTTTTTTTTATTTTAGTCTTGATTACTCATGATTGTTTCCAAACTTGTTGAAACTGAATAACAAATTGTGGATATACTTATATACTTCGCTATCAAAATTTCACAGGTTTGGGAATTCATGATCAAAACATTCCCAAATCATACTATTTGTAGTGATTGTCATACTATTAGTGTGTTGTTCTAAATCACGTGTTTCCTTTAGCTCCTTTTAGATGAATGTTTGTGCTCAGCTTTTTGTGCTCATCCTTTTTTTTTTTTTTTGCCATTTGCTGAGCTACTTTTGTTGCAGCATGAATTTCAGTGGTTGTGTGCATTTTTAGGTATCAACATAATATGAATGTTGTTATATGTGGCAGGTACGTTGTAGTATATTTGTGAAAGTTTTCCCTCATTTTGGCCATAGTCTAGTAGGTATGTCCAGTAGAATTTTAATCAAGTATTAAGACTTCATCAATAAATATCTGGGCATATCAAGGTGTTTCAGCACTGAAGTTAAAATGAATTGAAAGCCAAGTCCAGTTGCTTTTCATAAACTTTCTTTTGTTTTTAAACAGTCTAATGAAAATAAAAATACAATATAATACACATTATTTATGTATAGCCTACATGATATAAACTTTACTGGATCCAGTTGCTTTTAATCGTTGCGGTTACCATTACTAAACTAGAGAAAAGTAAATGTAATAGGACATTTCTCATTCCCGTTTCTGAATATTATTATACCAATTGCATTACATTAAAACAACAAGCCTCTCAAGGTCATTTGTTAGTGATTTCAGAGCTAACTTTATTAGCTTAACTGTAGATAATATAGTAGATATATAGACTTTGTACATAAATATAGAATTCAAAACACATAAACACACACACTTACTCATGTTTTTATGAATAACATTCTTTAACTTCCTGCTGGGTGTTAGGCCGGTGATTGTGGAGATCCCTCACTTTGCGGCTCTAAGAGGAAAAGAGAGGGAGCTGGTGATCTTACGCAGTGAAACGGGAGAGAGTTGGAAAGAGCATCATTGTGAGTACACAGAAGAAGAGCTCAACCAGATCCTCAACGGCATGGATGAGGGTAAGAAAAAAACACATAATCTGCATATAAGCATAACATGAATATGACCAATACAAATGATAACCTTCCTTCTTTCTAACATAGTCATGCAGGTCTGCACAAATGAATGGTCCCTTTCTCATTGGCTGCTCTATACATTATGTACAAATTTTTTTTTTTTTTTAGGGCTGGACCCACCAGAAGAGTTGGAGAAAAAGCGAATCTGTCGCATTATCACTCGGGACTTTCCACAGTATTTTGCTGTGGTGTCACGAATTAAGCAGGACAGTAATCTCATTGGTCCAGAAGGTGGTATTCTGAGTAGCACAGTGGTCCCTCAAGTACAGGCTGTCTTCCCAGAGGGAGCTCTCACTAAACGCATCCGTGTTGGCCTGCAGGTAGCATGGAGATTAAATAAAAAATATTATAATGTAGAATCATAGTGCACACAGCTGTATTTTAGTTGAATTTTCTTTTTTTTTATTTGTCAGTTAGTCTGTTCGTTTAGCTATAACATTATAATAATGTTATTGTTATAATAATGTTATAACAGTCATCTTTTTTTATCCCTTTAATGTGTCACAATATTTTGTTCCATTTCTGCTAGTTTAAGCTTGATTTTAGTAATCAGTAATTCAATTGAAAGAAGTAGAAATAGTACAATGTACGTTCAGTGTGCCACTGTCTTTTTGATTTTACTTAAAAGTTTAAGATGAAAGTTAAACTTCTCAAATTTATGTAATAGTTATTTTTAATACAATTTTTTGTGCTTTATTATGCCATTGAGCTGATTTGCTATCACAGGCATTCTGTTGGTAACAGTCACAATATTTAAATACATTTTGAAAAAATTACAATGAGATACAATGTGTTACTTTGCATTATTAATTAGCTCTGAACCAATCTTTATGATAGTTGTATTTATAATTGCATTTGCTTTTTGGCCAGGCTCAACCAATGAGTATTGATGTAGTGAGGAAGAATTTGGGTAATAAAGCCACATTCAGCCCTATAGTCACTCTGGAACCACGGAGGAGGAAATTCCATAAGCCCATAACCATGACCATCCCTGTCCCGAAGAGCTCCGCTGACCCAATCCTTGGCGGCTTTGGAGGTGGAGATACTCCTACATTACGTTTGCTATGCAGCATCACAGGTGAGAAAGTACACAGGAATATACAGAAACCAAACAAAATGCTCTTCATTCTGTAGGTAGCACAATATGCATTAAAGGTGTATTAAAGGTTAAGTGTAACACTGTAACACTACAACTAGTGGAATAGGTTAAGTCATGTAGAGCCTATAATAATCTACTTGCACTGAGCTTAATGATGTACTTCTGATTTGAAATAAAAAGACTTACCATTTTCTGGTTATGTATGTTTATAATATGCCATTGTTGTTGTAGTTCCTGAATCTTCACTTAAAAATAACTGTTTGGAAGAAGATTTTACAGTCTGTAAATTTTTACAGAGGAGAAAACGTCTTTAAAAATGACATGATGTAAAAAATAAATATAAGAAGACAAATGAGAGACCAAAAAAAATCTCTGAACCAATCTTTATGATAGTTGTATTTATAATTGCATTTGCTTTTTGGCCAGGCTCAACCAATGAGTATTGATGTAGTGAGGAAGAATTTGGGTAATAAAGCCACATTCAGCCCTATAGTCACTCTGGAACCACGGAGGAGGAAATTCCATAAGCCCATAACCATGACCATCCCTGTCCCGAAGAGCTCCGCTGACCCAATCCTTGGCGGCTTTGGAGGTGGAGATACTCCTACATTACGTTTGCTATGCAGCATCACAGGTGAGAAAGTACACAGGAATATACAGAAACCAAACAAAATGCTCTTCATTCTGTAGGTAGCACAATATGCATTAAAGGTGTATTAAAGGTTAAGTGTAACACTGTAACACTACAACTAGTGGAATAGGTTAAGTCATGTAGAGCCTATAATAATCTACTTGCACTGAGCTTAATGATGTACTTCTGATTTGAAATAAAAAGACTTACCATTTTCTGGTTATGTATGTTTATAATATGCCATTGTTGTTGTAGTTCCTGAATCTTCACTTAAAAATAACTGTTTGGAAGAAGATTTTACAGTCTGTAAATTTTTATAGAGGAGAAAACGTCTTTAAAAATGACATGATGTAAAAAATAAATATAAGAAGACAAATGAGAGACCAAAAAAAAAAAAATCAAGAAAACCATTAAAAATCTTTTGAAAATACCATAAACATTATTACTAAATTTATAAACATATTTGAATTTTGTAACCAAAGACCATTTTTGCATGTTTAGGTGGGACCACTCCTGCTCAATGGGAGGATATCACTGGGACTACACCATTAACATTCACCAATGACTGTGTGTCTTTCACCACAAATGTGTCTGCCAGGTATTTTCTCTGCAAGCATTGCCTGGTAGAGCATTACTCAATTTATGTTAAATGCCAACCTGGTCTCATGGCAAAAACCTGTGTAATGTACCCGGGGACACATTTTTGCGAGACGCGAAATACGTACCAATAAGTACATATCACTGCAGTTTCCAAAAGAAATGAACACTAGAGGCAGTAAAACTTTTATTCCTTTTCACACACATTTACAGAGTTTCGATTAATAAAGCGTAATTTTCGCACAATTACTTTGAAGAATATCATGTTATGACCTCAACACAATTTTAATATGCTGGGAGATTTGAAAACTGATGCTTTTGAACGTTAGTACCGCACATATCCAGCTTCATATCAATGAGTTTTCATCGACGGTAGGTTTGTTCGGTAGCTCACGGAGTACGGAGACGTACTTAAGAGGCGAGGAGCTCTGGTTCGAATACCGTGTAACTACGGTTCGACAAAACGGTATAAGTAAGTTCAAATGACACGGTTGCATCAACAAATGCGTTTTTATATAATATGCTGGGAGATTTGAAAACTGATGCTTTTGAACGTTAGCACCGCACATATCCAGCTTCATATCAATGAGTTTTCATCGACGGTAGGTTTGTTCAGTAGGTCACGGAGTACGGAGACATACTTAAGAGGCGAGGAGCTCTGGTTCGAATACCGTGTAACTACGGTTCGACAAAATGGTATAAGTAAGTTCAAATGACACGGTTGCATCAACAAATGCGTTTTTATATCAGTTTTGCATTTGTTAACACTATCGGGTAGGTTTAGGGTTGGGTTTGGTGTAGGGCATATTTCCAGCACGATAGAGCATTAACTTTTAGCGACAGTCCCCGGATATTTTAATTCTGAACCGCCGCAATATGTACCTGAAGCAATGTAATAAAAACACAGCAATACGTACCTATATCAACGTAATAAAAATGTGCTAGGGTTCACGTATTGAACCCATGTTTTAGCGCCACTCAGTGGACATTTCTCTTTGAAACTGCGGCGTAACGTGCAATAAGGTACGTAAAAACGGTGTTGCAGAAAAGTACCCAGAGGTACGTATTTTTATGAGACTGGGTTGTTAAATGCATGTATACTATTATGTCTTTTTGATTGGAAAAGATTAAACAAGTTTATTCCTGGTTTTTGAATTACAAATTTTCCCATTCTAACCGCCAATCCTCAGTGAAGCCCACAAACAAACAATAAATAAACAAATGAATTAATTAATGAAATAATGAATTAAAATAAGCACCAATATCTCCCATATTTTCTTCATCAGATTCTGGCTTATAGACTGCAGGCAGGTTCAGGAGTCGGTAAACTTCGCCACTCAGGTGTATCGTGAAATCATCTGTGTACCTTACATGGCCAAATTCGTCATCTTTGCCAAAACACATGACCCAATTGAGGCTCGATTGCGCTGTTTCTGTATGACTGATGATAAAATGGACAAAACTTTGGAGCAGCAAGAGAACTTCACAGAAGTGGCACGTAGCCGAGATGTGGAGGTGAGTCATGGGTATTGCTACACTGGATTCTTTTTAATATACTTCAATGCAGCCCAGTCAGATATTTTTCAGTATTGTATTGTCTAAACTAGTGTTTCCCAACCAATTGGCCTTGAATAGCAATTGGTTGGGAGTTTTATTCTTATGAAGTAATTTCAATTACACACACCTTTTAACCACATTATTATTGTTAAAAATGTGACTGGTTTATGTGATCGACAAGCTGAGAGACCACATCAAATGAAGGCGGAAGTTATTACCAGAAGGGAAGTAATTATCAGCTGGTTCTGATCATTTTAGCATTCGGAAACTAAAGCTTTGGGGCAAAGTTTAAATTAGACTAGACTAGCTAGAGTAGATGACTTGTTCTGGTTTTGACCAGTTATATAGACACTCTCTTTAGTTTAGGATGTAACTATCCTAACTTTGTTCTCCTCCCCTCACATTAATCAACATGTTATTTTCTCAGTCACATGGTTCCTAATCGTCCCGCTCTTGCAGTATATAATTTAGTAATGGTTTCTATGAAAAGAATATGATACATTCTCCCCAAAATTGATTACCATCAGCATTTAGGAAATTATTTAACAATCACACACACACAGATGTTTGAATGCGTTTTTAACAAAGAGACTGTTATTATGTTGCATTCTAGGTATTAGAAGGTAAACCAATCTATGTAGACTGTTTTGGAAACCTGGTTCCTCTAACAAAAAGTGGCCAGCATCATGTCTTCAGCTTCTATGCCTTTAAAGAGAATCGACTGGCTCTTTTTATCAAAGTAAGTCAACAATGATATATCTGAAGAATTAGAATTGGATTCATACAATGGTTTAACTGCACACTTGGTGAATCACTTGTAGATACGAGACAACACTCAAGAGCCTTGTGGACGTTTGTCCTTCACAAAAGAACCAAGATCTTATAGGACTTTGACTCATAGTGCAATATGCAATTTAAACATCACCCTGCCAGCTTACTCAAAGGTAAGTTCATGCCCTATGCTATTACTGACATTACAGAGCTGCAAAATGCATTGTCCAGTGAAATTTCCATTTCTTTTGTGATTGTTTGTTTTGTCAGCTTTTATGGCTGGTTTGCATGCATTACGTTGCCATTATATGATTGTTTCAGGCCACAATATCTACATAGCTTTATATAAACTTTAACATGTGAGAAACTTTATCAGACATAGTTGAATCACCACAAAATGTAATTAGTCTATTACACAACTCATTGCTGTAGTTATTTGGAAAGCCTCATCATTAGGGCCATCTTTTCCTTCTATTTCTTTATTTTATTACCTTGTTTTATATTGCAATGTATTGGGGTTAAAACTGATAAATGCTTTTATGCATTTCTGTTGCACTTAACCCCTGTCACACCTCACTGGCTGGCCTCAGACATGTTCTGTTGCTGTGATAAATGCTTTGCCTGCTCTCTCTGTCCCCTTCTGTCTTTCTTGTACTTCTGTCCTTTCTATCTTCTGGCGCTCTCTTCCTCTTTTGCTGCTTTTTGCTCCTCAAAGGAATCAGATTCAGAACAAGAACCTGATGAGGAGGTAACTGCAATTTTGCACTTTACTTAACAAAATGCCCTTTGCTTTCCTCCATTATCTCAGTTTAAAACTCCAGTCTGCAGTCTCACTGGCTTTAATAGTAGTATTAGTAGTATTGTGTAAGTGCACAGAGATTAGCTGTTATGTGAACATCAATACTGAGAAAATGTTTTGAAACCCTTAGAATATCATGAATGGCTCCTTAATTTAATTTTTATTTTTTTTATTGTTTGTTTTAGTAGCAATGGCTTAATGCATAAAATACAGATCATTATAAAGGGTTTACACACATTTTCTCATAACTATATATTGTTTGCTGTACCAGCTGTGATAGATGTAATGTCAGCATCCAGATGGCTTATGTGGGGTCAAATAGCATGAAATCAGAAAGTAAATTAGCAGTTTTACGCTAAAAATATGTATGTCTGTTAATGCATAGCATGTATACAACTGAATTTTCTTCACCTGTTTTTCTTTACAGACAAGCCGAACACTTGAGAAATGTAAGATGTCTAGCTTAATTAAAATGTTGTCTTGCACCAGACACCTTTCCACTTAACTTACTAACTGAGAATGTCACCACTGTAAAATAACTTACAAAGCATGGTATTAACATTCCAAAAACATTTATTTGTGTCTGAGTGAGTTAACTATTTGCCTGTTGTACAACACTTTTCTCAGTTAAATTAAAGTTAATATAAACTTCAGGGTAATGATTGCCGCATGTCTTTCACATTCCTTTGTACATCACAACAAAAATTACTATTAAATTATATACATAAGGGTATATATAAAATATATAAAATGGGTTCCTTTTGCTATTGAAAAGCTTAACAGTAAATTTCTATAAGTCTTATGTAACTTTTTATTCAAAATTTACAAACTTTATATGAGCAGGTAGATTATGAGTACATCTACCAAAACATGTTTTTGTCTTTTTCTGACTCACTAAGGTACACCTATAATGTTTATATTGGTACTATTTTAGACCGAGCAGGACACTACGGAGTAGCCCAGTACGCAAATTAGCTCTGGCTACAATGTTGTTTCACAAGACGCAATTTTTTTGTTTATTAACCGCTAGAGCACCAAAGATTATGTAGTGTTATTTAAAACATTTTATCAAACATCTATCTTTAGGTGGTAATTAAATGCATTGTGCTATGTTAATTAATATATGCATATGATACACAAAAGCACCCATTTTATATTGACTACTCAACCTTTCTCTCTCTTTAGACCAGTGGTTTTAAATGAATAGTTCACCCAAAAATGAACATTTCCTAAAAATGTTCTCCCCCTCATGTCGTCCAAGGCGTAAATTAAGTTTGTTTCTCCATCGGAACAGATTTAGAGAAATTTAGCATTGCATCAACTCTAGTCCATCATTTAAGGTCTTGTGAAGTAAAAAGCTGCATGCGTGTAATAAACAGATCTATCCTTTATTAAGGCATTTCAACTTTAAACCATTGCTTCTGGTCAAAATATGAGTCCATAAACTATAATAACACTTCCTCCAGTGAAAAAGCCCATCCACTGTTGTCCTCTCACATTCAATGACATCCACAATCCAATGACATATTTGTTTAGAATTGTTTTGGACTGTTTTTGCTTGTAAACTGTGCTTGATCTTTGGGTATTTCTCTCCTGATTTAGACGAGATGTCTTTTTCACTAGAGAAAGCAATATTGTGGATAGAGGTGGTTAAAAAACTAAAAAGTCAAAAACATTTTAATTAGGGATTTATTACAAACATGCAGCTATTCACTTCACAAGACATTCATTGATGGGCTGGAGTTGTATGGATTACTTGTGGATTATTTTTCATTTTTGGTGAACTATTCATTTGGTTCTGGGGACCCATTGCTCTTCATGTTTTGTATGTCTGTCTTATCTCGCACAGTTCAGTTCGGCTCTCTTCTAACAAGCTCATGATCTGAATCTAGTATGTTGAATAAGGGAAATAAAAATGTGCAGAGCTGTGGTTCCCCATTTTCTTATTTTAGGTGATAGTAGTGAGTGTAGCTTTCTTTTTTCATATTAGTATCATTCTGATCGGTTTATGAATCATGATAGAGGGAGAGGTTTTTGAATAATCACTTTTTATGCACAATGTGAATTTCATTCATACTGTGGTGATGTTTCTGTTTTCAACTGTTTTAGAGCCCTATTCCCTTCATTACACAATAACAATCTGCAAAGCAAATTATGATTTCCATCTAAATCTGTCACTCTCATTAGTACCTTTTTAGTGCCTTTTTTTAAAATAAGCCAGCCTAGCAAGACTCTTCCCTCTCTTTATATGCTGTAAGAATGTACAAAACACTGTTTGTATTTATTTATTTATTTATTTATTAGATGTGTGGCTTTATCAGTTGGATATTAACATTGTATAGTTTGCTTACTATTGCTTTAGAGAGTATCAAATCACCACACTATGCAATGTGACCTATAAGTATAGTACATACATTAGGTTAATGTTTAGGTGTAAGTAAAAATTAGAATCTAGATTTATTACTATATGGAACTTAGTACACAATAACATGTTAGTTTACTAAGGAAATAACAGCTTACTTAGATTATTTTGAATGCTGCCTTGTGTGTGTGAATGATTTTCCAGAACTGCTCTTTGTTTAACACTATTCATCTTTGCCACTACTAATATTTAAAAAAAATAATAACTTTCAGTTATGATAAACATTCTGCTTATGTTGTTTTTCAAATGCATTTATTTCCACATTCTAAAAACATATTTTTGTTTACTGTTATTCCATTTTAGTTGCATATCACTGGCTTTCTTTGATTTTTTTTTTTTTTTTTTTTTTTTAATAAAACCTTTTTAGACTGTTTGCAGTGATTTTTACCACATATAAAGAGGTGTTCCTAAAAAAAACGGTTTACCATGAATAATTGCATTAATTTACATAACTAATTGGAATTTTTGTTCAGAATTGGAATTCAACATAGTTTTTCACAGCTGCAGTGTTAACTGTAAAAATTAGCTGTAAAGTGTTTAGCAACTTGATGCAACTTGACAGAATAGACTGGCCATTTTTTACACGTACTGGTTTACAGCAGCTTCAAGCATGTCTCATATTTATAAGGGAGAATTTAAATGACAGAGAATTTGAGATAATAACAAATGTATTGTTTTACAGCTGATCAAATGAATCATCTTGAAATCAGTTGAACTGGCCATAATTATCAACTCTGAAAGGATATTATTTTTTTTGACCACCTAGAATAATAGTACGGTAAAATCACTATTTATTAGTAAGGTAAATATATTAAGACATTAACTTGTAAGCACAGAGCACAAAGACACTTCTCTTTAAATACAATACTCTTTAAAGTCAGTACTTTATTAAAAATGTATTTTAGTCATTCTAATACATGTAAATTGTTTTAACACACGTCTAACAAGCTTAAAGATAGAAGGAAAAGATAGATGGCTTTCTAGAGACTAGAAAAGTGAATCAGAAGTTTCCGAAGTTTCTAGCAATGCATTCTATTTCACAGACCCGACCTGACCAAACCATTTAGTAAATGAGTGGGAAACTAAAGCTTTGGGGCAAAGTTTAAATTAGACTAGACTAGCTAGAGTAGATGACTTGTTCTGGTTTTGACCAGTTATATAGACACTCTCTTTAGTTTAGGATGTAACTATCCTAACTTTGTTCTCCTCCCCTCACATTAATCAACATGTTATTTTCTCAGTCACATGGTTCCTAATCGTCCCGCTCTTGCAGTATATAATTTAGTAATGGTTTCTATGAAAAGAATATGATACATTCTCCCCAAAATTGATTACCATCAGCATTTAGGAAATTATTTAACAATCACACACACACAGATGTTTGAATGCGTTTTTAACAAAGAGACTGTTATTATGTTGCATTCTAGGTATTAGAAGGTAAACCAATCTATGTAGACTGTTTTGGAAACCTGGTTCCTCTAACAAAAAGTGGCCAGCATCATGTCTTCAGCTTCTATGCCTTTAAAGAGAATCGACTGGCTCTTTTTATCAAAGTAAGTCAACAATGATATATCTGAAGAATTAGAATTGGATTCATACAATGGTTTAACTGCACACTTGGTGAATCACTTGTAGATACGAGACAACACTCAAGAGCCTTGTGGACGTTTGTCCTTCACAAAAGAACCAAGATCTTATAGGACTTTGACTCATAGTGCAATATGCAATTTAAACATCACCCTGCCAGCTTACTCAAAGGTAAGTTCATGCCCTATGCTATTACTGACATTACAGAGCTGCAAAATGCATTGTCCAGTGAAATTTCCATTTCTTTTGTGATTGTTTGTTTTGTCAGCTTTTATGGCTGGTTTGCATGCATTACGTTGCCATTTTATGATTGTTTTAGGGCACAATATTTACATAGCTTTATATAAACTTTAACATGTGAGAAACTTTATCAGACATAGTTGAATCACCACAAAATGTAATTAGTCTATTACACAACTCATTGCTGTAGTTATTTGGAAAGCCTCATCATTAGGGCCATCTTTTCCTTCTATTTCTTTATTTTATTACCTTGTTTTATATTGCAATGTATTGGGGTTAAAACTGATAAATGCTTTTATGCATTTCTGTTGCACTTAACCCCTGTCACACCTCACTGGCTGGCCTCAGACATGTTCTGTTGCTGTGATAAATGCTTTGCCTGCTCTCTCTGTCCCCTTCTGTCTTTCTTGTACTTCTGTCCTTTCTATCTTCTGGCGCTCTCTTCCTCTTTTGCTGCTTTTTGCTCCTCAAAGGAATCAGATTCAGAACAAGAACCTGATGAGGAGGTAACTGCAATTTTGCACTTTACTTAACAAAATGCCCTTTGCTTTCCTCCATTATCTCAGTTTAAAACTCCAGTCTGCAGTCTCACTGGCTTTAATAGTAGTATTAGTAGTATTGTGTAAGTGCACAGAGATTAGCTGTTATGTGAACATCAATACTGAGAAAATGTTTTGAAACCCTTAGAATATCATGAATGGCTCCTTAATTTAATTTTTATTTTTTTTATTGTTTGTTTTAGTAGCAATGGCTTAATGCATAAAATACAGATCATTATAAAGGGTTTACACACATTTTCTCATAACTATATATTGTTTGCTGTACCAGCTGTGATAGATGTAATGTCAGCATCCAGATGGCTTATGTGGGGTCAAATAGCATGAAATCAGAAAGTAAATTGGCAGTTTTACGCTAAAAATATGTATGTCTGTTAATGCATAGCATGTATACAACTGAATTTTCTTCACCTGTTTTTCTTTACAGACAAGCCGAACACTTGAGAAATGTAAGATGTCTAGCTTAATTAAAATGTTGTCTTGCACCAGACACCTTTCCACTTAACTTACTAACTGAGAATGTCACCACTGTAAAATAACTTACAAAGCATGGTATTAACATTCCAAAAACATTTATTTGTGTCTGAGTGAGTTAACTATTTGCCTGTTGTACAACACTTTTCTCAGTTAAATTAAAGTTAATATAAGCTTCAGGGTAATGATTGCCGCATGTCTTTCACATTCCTTTGTACATCACAACAAAAATTACTATTAAATTATATACATAAGGGTATATATAAAATATATAAAATGGGTTCCTTTTGCTATTGAAAAGCTTAACAGTAAATTTCTATAAGTCTTATGTAACTTTTTATTCAAAATTTACAAACTTTATATGAGCAGGTAGATTATGAGTACATCTACCAAAACATGTTTTTGTCTTTTTCTGACTCACTAAGGTACACCTATAATGTTTATATTGGTACTATTTTAGACCGAGCAGGACACTACGGAGTAGCCCAGTACGCAAATTAGCTCTGGCTACAATGTTGTTTCACAAGACGCAATTTTTCGGTTTATTAACCGCTAGAGCACCAAAGATTATGTAGTGTTATTTAAAACATTTTATCAAACATCTATCTTTAGGTGGTAATTAAATGCATTGTGCTATGTTAATTAATATATGCATATGATACACAAAAGCACCCATTTTATATTGACTACTCAACCTTTCTCTCTCTTTAGACCAGTGGTTTTAAATGAATAGTTCACCCAAAAATGAACATTTCCTAAAAATGTTCTCCCCCTCATGTCGTCCAAGGCGTAAATTAAGTTTGTTTCTCCATCGGAACAGATTTAGAGAAATTTAGCATTGCATCAACTCTAGTCCATCATTTAAGGTCTTGTGAAGTAAAAAGCTGCATGCGTGTAATAAACAGATCTATCCTTTATTAAGGCATTTCAACTTTAAACCATTGCTTCTGGTCAAAATATGGGTCCATAAACTATAATAACACTTCCTCCAGTGAAAAAGCCCATCCACTGTTGTCCTCTCACATTCAATGACATCCACAATCCAATGACATATTTGTTTAGAATTGTTTTGGACTGTTTTTGCTTGTAAACTGTGCTTGATCTTTGGGTATTTCTCTCCTGATTTAGACGAGATGTCTTTTTCACTAGAGAAAGCAATATTGTGGATAGAGGTGGTTAAAAAAGTAAAAAGTCAAAAACATTTTAATTAGGGATTTATTACAAACATGCAGCTATTCACTTCACAAGACATTCATTGATGGGCTGGAGTTGTATGGATTACTTGTGGATTATTTTTCATTTTTGGTGAACTATTCATTTGGTTCTGGGGACCCATTGCTCTTCATGTTTTGGATGTCTGTCTTATCTCGCACAGTTCAGTTCGGCTCTCTTCTAACAAGCTCATGATCTGAATCTAGTATGTTGAATAAGGGAAATAAAAATGTGCAGAGCTGTGGTTCCCCATTTTCTTATTTTAGGTGATAGTAGTGAGTGTAGCTTTCTTTTTTCATATTAGTATCATTCTGATCGGTTTATGAATCATGATAGAGGGAGAGGTTTTTGAATAATCACTTTTTATGCACAATGTGAATTTCATTCATACTGTGGTGATGTTTCTGTTTTCAACTGTTTTAGAGCCCTATTCCCTTCATTACACAATAACAATCTGCAAAGCAAATTATGATTTCCATCTAAATCTGTCACTCTCATTAGTACCTTTTTAGTGCCTTTTTTTAAAATAAGCCAGCCTAGCAAGACTCTTCCCTCTCTTTATATGCTGTAAGAATGTACAAAACACTGTTTGTATTTATTTATTTATTTATTTATTAGATGTGTGGCTTTATCAGTTGGATATTAACATTGTATAGTTTGCTTACTATTGCTTTAGAGAGTATCAAATCACCACACTATGCAATGTGACCTATAAGTATAGTACATACATTAGGTTAATGTTTAGGTGTAAGTAAAAATTAGAATCTAGATTTATTACTATATGGAACTTAGTACACAATAACATGTTAGTTTACTAAGGAAATAACAGCTTACTTAGATTATTTTGAATGCTGCCTTGTGTGTGTGAATGATTTTCCAGAACTGCTCTTTGTTTAACACTATTCATCTTTGCCACTACTAATATTTAAAAAAAATAATAACTTTCAGTTATGATAAACATTCTGCTTATGTTGTTTTTCAAATGCATTTATTTCCACATTCTAAAAACATATTTTTGTTTACTGTTATTCCATTTTAGTTGCATATCACTGGCTTTCTTTGAAAAAAGTTTTACTAAGTTTTATAAAGGTCTCTCTTGAATTCTCTGAGTTCTCTCTTTCTCTTTCTCTCTCTTTCTTTCTTCTGTAGTCATGAGTTATACATGAGCAATGTCTACTTTTTGTCACTGTTTTTCAGTACATGTCCAAGTGTTTGGGTTGGCTTATTTTCGTCTCCCTTTTTAATTATCGCGTTAGTTTGTCATTTTGTTTGTGTGTGAGTGTGCTGTTGAACCAAATGTGAATAAGCAAGTTTCCTGCTTATTCTTCTGTTGTCTTTAAGATTTGGTTAGTATTTGCTTTGCAGTTGTTATTCTCCCATGAGTCCAGTAGACACTCATTATCCCACAGTCCACTTAGCTTTTTGTCATCTTGATGCCTTCTGGTCCTTGAAACTTGAATTTATCCCTTATCTCCTTTTCCAATCTCTGTCCCTTTAATTTAAATTTTGGTTAATTTGCTCCTTAAATGTCATCCAAATGGAAGATGATGAAGACACTGAAACAACTGAAACATCATTCCTGAAAACACAATTGATCCGAGACTCCCCTGCCCTAGCAAGTCCAGATTTACTCTCTGAAGTGTCAGAGATGAAACAAGACCTTATCAAAATGACTGCTATTCTGACCACTGATTCCTCAGAGAAAGGAGGTCCCATGCAAGGGGATTATTTAGATAAGGGGGTTGAGGAGGTGTCAGCAGAGCCTTTTGAAATAATGGAAAAAGTGAAAGAAGATTTGGAAAAGGTTAGTGAAATTCTAAGAAGTGGAACATGTGACAAGGAAGAGTCTGCAAAAACAGACAGCCGTCCATATAGGAAGGATGAGGGGTGGGTTCTACTAACAGAAAGTGAAATCGAAGAGGCAAAAATGATGGCTGCCTTTGAATCTCAAGAATCACTTCTAAAGGAAGTTCGAGTCAACAGAGGATCACAGAGACCAAAGGGTGCTAGGGACAGGCCTGGCATAGAGACTGTTCCCAGTTGTGAAGTTAAGGAATACTTATTGGATGTGCCTGATACATCTAGACCTGAATCCCAAGAGTCTCCATCACAGCAAAGGTTCACTGAGGTTGTTCTGCGCAGAGGTGGTCGGAAAATAGTGCCTACAGTGGCAAAAGACACTAAGGCCCATACAACAGACGTAAAAAAGCCAATCAGAAGAAAAGGGCCTCAAGGACACACAGATGAAACCCAGTCATTTAGCACAAAAGAAAGTATTGTTAGTGAAAGCACTGGGAAGTCTTCCAAAGGGGATGCCTTTCTACCCATCCCTGGAGACCAAAAAAAGTCTCCTGTTTCACCAGTGGTTGAGGAGACACCAATCGGTTCCATTAAAGAGAAAGTTAAGGCTCTTCAAAAGAAAGTAGAGGAAGAACAAAAAGGTTCGAAAAAACAAACAGGCCAAAAACCTCCATATAAAGTAACAGAAGCCAAAGCATCTTCTGTTGTCAAAGATCAGAAAACATCAGGCCTGAAAAAACAGACTTCTTCACCCCAGAAACAGTCTCCTTCTAGGTCAACAGGCTCTGAGCCTGGGAGAGCCCTAGAAGAAACCATGTCTGTAAGAGAACTAATGAGAGCATTTCAAACTGGCCAAGACCCCTCAAAAAGAAAATCTGGGCTCTTTGAGCACAAAGGTCCTTCCAAAACAGAAGGCACAACAGTGAGTGAACCAGAGGCTATCCTCACAAAGTCACAATGTCTTCCCCAAGCACCCTCACATGAAGAAGTGTCTCTTGTTTTAAAGCCTGAAGATCACCATGAAGAAAAAGAAGTCAAAAGTAGTCCACACACAAAAAAATCTGAAGACATTGAAGAAGATACAAAAGCAAGTCAAAAGAGTTGTCAATGTCCACAGGAAAAGAGTGGTAATGCTGTGGTTTCTGGAATAGTGTCAGCAGGTCCTTTTACTCACTCAAGCATGACAACAACAATTTCTCAAAATTTGTCAGAACAGCGCAGAGATCTTTTGCCTGACAACAGTACAAAGAACAGTGCATTTGATGACAGCTCTGACAGCATTAGACATGAAACATTGGTTGACTCGTCCAATGCCAGCCTTGCTGAAGTGGAAGCCCCATTGAGTTCTGATGAAAGTTACAAACATGAGGGCATGGCTGAGACTCCAGAAACAAGCCCCGAGAGCCTCTCATTATCACCGAAAAAAACAGCTCAGTCTATACTTGCAAAGACCTCAAAATCAGTTGCAGTCACCCCTAAAGTCAAGACAAGTAAAGTATCTGTTCCCTTTTCTACTGAGATAAAGACAACTAATGAACAGGCATCTGAAGATACAGTTCATCATCCAGCATTGAGCAAAGCAGTGGATGAACCAACAAAAAGTGAGTCTATGTCTATTCCTCATGGAAATAGGGGGGTGAACTTTGAGGGTGACCAAACTTCAGTTGATAAGGACGTTGCTTCTGTGCCATCCAAGCCATCTAAATCTCGAAAACTGACAAAAAGGACATCTGAAACACTAGAGTGTTTTTTGAGCGATGAGGAATCCTTTGACGGTCAATCAATACCAACCTCTGCTGACTCCCTGGCCTCAAGGGAAGCTACACAGGATCATGGTGGTTTAGTGCTACCTCTTAGACACCAAGATTCAGAGAACCTTAGTCCAGTAGCTGATGACTCTTTTACTATTAGCCACAAGGACTCTTTAGAGGGTAGTCCCTTGATGGAAGACAACTCTTCCCATAAAACCCCAGACTCTATTGAGCCTAGTCCAACAAAAGAATCCCCATGTCGTGACTCTTTAGAAAGCAGCCCCATAGAGATGAAAACCAACCTGGCTTTTCCACCTACAGTAGAACAACCCAGTGTGACCACAGGGCCCCTGACATCCTCCAAAGCCCCTGAAATCCCCCCAGACAGTTTGCGTAGTAGAATGCTCAAAGAACAGGAGGGTAATGCCGACGATGACAGTTGTGAGCAGACGTCCCTGATGACAAGTTCGGGTAAGAGTCCTCTCTCACCTGACACACCAAGTTCTGAAGAGGTAAGTGATGAGGTCAATCCCAAAACCCCAGACCCCATGGTCCTGATTGTTCCCTTTAAGCCATCAGTAGTCCCAGAGGAGACAGTAGAAGATGATGAGTTGAAGTGTGGCCTGACACAGAGGAAAATTACTCCAGAGGAAGAGATGTTTAAAATGGCTGCCAAAATAAAAACCTTTGATGAAATGGAGCAAGATGCAAAAGACAAAAAGGACAATAGAAAAGATAGTGAATCCTCTCAGACACTGGTAGCGTCTGATGCAGGAGATGACAGCTTCAAACTGTTTGAGGTTGCATCCAAACATAAAACATCCTCTGTGGATGATGTTGGGTTTAGTGAACTCAAACAAGCCTCAGAGATAGCACGGTCTGTTGAACCGATCATTAAAGTACAACCTCCCTCTCCTTTTCCAGCAGGTATTCATAAGAGCCCCCAAACATCTGACGACATTCAACAAACCATGGCCCACAGTGCAGCATCTGAATCAGCAATGAGGAGACCTCAGTCTGTCTCAGAAAAGCATACCATAAAACCACACCTTCAAGAATCTCATAATGAGAAATTTAAGGACAAAGATTATGTTGATTCAGAGTTAGTACAGCTAAACAAAACTGGCTCTAACAGCAAAAATATAACTGATGAACAAAAAGAGCAAAGCTTAAAAAGATCAAAAGGAAATCAAGAAATGTACAGTCATGAACAGCAGAAGGAGGCAGCTAATTACCAAAATGTTGACTACCAATCACATAGTCAGGAAGAAAAAAAAATTGCGTTATATTTATGTGCTTATGTGGCTATTGCTGCTTTGCTGGAATTTGCAGTAGATCCACAGGATGAGGCTGACAGGAAAGAGGGGCGTCTGGCTTTAATAGCAGATCACCTTGGTTTCAGCTGGTCAGGTAAGCGGCTTTTTTGAATATCAATTATCCAGCTTTCAGAAATTCAAAACGGTTTAAGAGTGACCCAGCAATACTGGAAAATACATTGTTGTTATTGGTTAAAATAGTAGAATTGTTTAAGAGGTTGGGATACTTTTACATTACAGTTGCATTTGTTTGCAATAATTGTCATGCCTACTTTTTATTATTGTAAGCCTTATTTCAACACATATTGCCTTGCAGTAAGGACACTATTGCTCCATAATACTTTGTTGGTCTGAATTAAATACATGATTTATTACCAATGCGTTTTTGTTCAATCAGAATTGGCTCGAGAGCTTGAATTCAGTGAGCTACAGATCAATCAGATAAGAAATGAGAATCCAAATTCTCTACAAGACCAAAGCCATGCCCTCATAAGGCTATGGAAAGAAAGGGAGGGCAAAAATGCTACAGGTAAGATTACTGATCATGTGTTTTCCTTTAGTTTATATCTAAATTTGCATTGCTCTATTCACCAGATAGCAAATATTATTAAATCTGAGATTAGTTCATTTAAATAATTAAGCTTTCCGCTCAGCCAGCACCAATGTGCAGCATCCTTCTGAATCCACTTTTCTGTAATTAATTCAGCAGCAACTGCTTAAAAGACAGAATTCTTTTTAATTCAATAAACTTTCTACAATTAGATAAAAAAAAAATGCATCAGGAATGCAGGACAATTTTTGGTTAAAAACAAAATTAAATTTTTGAGCAAGTACATAAAAAAACAGTACCCAAAACAGCATTGAATTTTAACTAATCAGCTATTTGGTGATGAACATGGACCGTTCTAAACAGCAACCCTTTTTGACCTCTGTGGAATCATCAAATAATAAAACTCCAGAGAGTATGTAATCAAAAAGGAAAAGCAACAGAGCCTGTGTCAAAACAAGATCCAAACCACAGTAGCAGATATGATACCTGCTCTGATGACATTTTTTCTGATATAGACTTTGTTGGAATATTATATTATTGTCTTGGTGCAGCATGGCAAATCTGCTCTGATACAGAGAGCACCAGTAACCATGGGGTAACCATCTTCTTCATCCACGCTGTACAGAAGTGCCAAAAAACAACTGATGTAAAAGAAATATTTTGCAAGTAACAATCAACTTGTGTTTCAATATCATGGAAATAGAGAGGACAATATTCCGTAGCGTAGCTTTAATTTTTTCTTCTTCTTCATTCTGGCACTTAACTCACCATTGTTGTAAACTGATTGACTAAATGAGGAAATATGTGCTAGGACTTTTTTAAGTGATCAGACATAATATTTGGTCGAAAAATTGGGTGAAAAATAACCATCAGACATGTAATATGAAATAGCCGTATCTCACCACCAGAACATCATAGAGACGTGGGGCTCTTTTGACTTGGGGAAATGTAGTAATGCCCAGAGGTATGTGCATAGTAAAAGGAAACAAATGACGATGTTATGTCATTGTGGCAGCGGGATCTGACAAAGATGGAGGATCAATCACATTGTCTGGTTGACAGTTGCATACTAGTAGCCAAAAATATGCATAACATAATCTCTCCGCTTATCAGCAGAGACCACTTTGATGAAGACACTTACAAAAATAAATCGTATGGACATTGTTCATCTCATCGAAACAAAAATCATCCAGTCCAGTCAAGACCAGACATCACACACCTATGCAGAAATTGAGCAAACCATATCATTGGATCATAGTGAAGGTATGGATTATAATAACTTGAAACTTATTAGGTTGGTGTTTTTTTTAGAAAGTCACATTATATTATTTATCTTTCCCACCAGATGATCAGAGTCACTTTTACAATGATTTTACAACATTTCAACAGAAACTATGTTGGCCTTGCAGGTTTTTCAGCCCTACAGGAGGACATGGACAGCCCCAGGCCAGGTCGGCGAGCAGAAGTCACACAAAAAGGATCAGAACTTGGGCCTCTGGTGGCATCTGTCGAGGATCTCTCCTGCAATGTATCTTCCCTTGATGATACCCAAAAAGAGAGGTTGCTGACAGACAAAGAGATGGGTTCAGAGTAAGTTAATTCTATTCCTGACCTATACCATTAAAAAATGTATTAATAATATACTGTAACAATTGATTTAAATTTGATTCTCTATTTGTCAGGGTGGTCGGAGCCTCAGCACATAGTTCCGTTGATATGGTTGGACTGAGGCAACAATTCCCTGGCACTATCAAAAGAGTAAGTCCCTTCTTTACCCTGTACAAAGCTGTTCCCTGGAGACTGCAGTCTCACGTTTATGGCACAGTTTGCAAAGGTGGTACTATTCCCAATGAATCATCAGACAATACACATGAAATTGTGAGCGACCCTCTCCAAGAGTTAGGAGCGACTGGGGGTCAATTTATCCCAGTATCCACCCAACAGGATGATGAACAGAATGTCCTACCCATTAATTCAATTGAGGAGTACAAGCTGAGACAGAGAAAAACAACCTTGTCAGATTTTGGGCACACCCTGTTGGAATCTGAGAATGCCGAGCCAGATTTCAATGAGTTGTCTGTGGAACTCAAGCAAGATTCTGAAGATTATATTACCTCACCAGTCTCCAGTGCAATGAATTTCTTTACATCCCCATCAAATGAAAATACAGAAATTGCATCTACTTCATCGAATAAATATGAGGTTGCACTTCCAAAGAAACCAAGTGAGAGTGAGGAGTATATACAGCGCCATGTTGAGGAAATTTCTGACAGATTCTATAGAACCCTTTTTGGTGAAAGTTATGTCTTACCTGAGCTATGTGAAAATAGTGTAATTGTAGAGACTTATAGGTTCCCTGAAAATGAGATTTCTTCTGTGGATGAAGGGAATTGTAACATCATTCCTGTCTGTGTACAAGAATCTTCAGATGTTTCCAAAGATAATGATGTTGATCAGTTTGGAATCACAGAATTGTCCACTGAAAGAGTACAAAGCATAACTCAAATAATTTCCGGTCCTCTTCAACAACCTAGCATGTCTTTTGCACTTGTAAGTGGAACAGACATTACAGAGAAGATTACCCCTTCTACACTCAATCAAATGTCACTTGATTCAGTTACTAAGCAGCCACATTTGTTATCACTTCCAATAGCTGATTCTGGTTCTTCAGAAGCAAGGGTTGAAATAGCCATGCCAATCACTCTAAACAAACCAACAGATGCTGAATACACAAAAACGGAATATATCACCTCAATATCAGTTGAAGTTGTGGAGTGTAGACCTCTTACACCTGTATCTTTAACATTCCCAGTTGAGCTAAGATCATTGTCACCAGATTTAGAGTTTGAATATTTTGATAACCTTGGAATGACTTCATTTGAATATAGATCATCACCAGAATCAGTGGATTCTTTGCCTTTAGACTCACCAGTACCATTTGAATATAGACCGTCTTCACCAGACTCATGCATATTAATGGCAGAATTAAGAGTATCTTCACCTGAATCTGTAACTTCAGTGAATGACTGCACTCTTCTCTCTGTTGACTCTCCATTGCCTGATTTTAGGCCAGCTACGCCTTTGCCAACTTTTGAAAATTACACACCTGAATTCACAATACATGTTGAAGAATACAAAACATTGCATGCAACTGGAGAAAAAACGGTTCCTCTTACAGGATATACAGAAGATTCACTAGGAGCATATTATTTGGAGGTGACTGATGACACAGAAAGACCTATTTCACCTGGTTCTATGATTTTCTGCCGATCATTATCACCTGAATCAAACAGATCTTGGTCTCCTATGTCCATCGGTTCTGACATTTTAGATAGCGAACACTCCACTGAAAAAAGTTTTGAAAGAAGGTCCTCATCGGAGTCAATCACATCACTTAGAAGGTCTTCTCCACAGTCAAATGGGTCCATGAATGAATGTAGACCACTATCTCCAGAGTCACCTATACCACAGTATTTTCCAGCAGTCTTTGAATCAGTTTCTGTAACAGATTATAGGTCCTCATCCCCTGAATCTGCATTATCAGATGAGGAATGTGAATTAAATGTTTTCACCCTAGATTCTTCTCCAGAATCAACAGAATCTGTAAATGATGAAAGACCTGACTTTAGATCTTTATCCCCTGATTCTCCAATATCTCAATATTATAATTTTCATTTTGAACCAGCAATGGTAACAGGTTACACATCAATATCCCCTGAATCAGTGCTATCAGAAATGTATATGCAGACCGATGTATTTGATGACTTGGTGATTGATCTTAGAAGATCCTCTTTGGAGTCAATCACATCACTTAATGAAAACAGACCCCTCTCCCCTGATTCACCTATTCCTGAGTTCACAATGGCCACACACACATGTATCATGCCATTTACAGGCTCTGGACTATCCTCTCCAGAATCAGTCACTTTGGATGTTGAAAACGAATTGTCTCAATATGACCTTCATCCAGAGCAAAGATCTGACTCTCCTCAGTCTATAATATCAGAGACTGAGATTAGACCACTGTCCCCTGACTCACCTGTACCTCATTTCATGGCATTATTCCATCAGAGTACTTTGCCAGTAACAGGACCTAGATCATGTTCACCTCAGTCACTGTGCTCAGAGAATACAGAATATGAACCTTACCTTGAAGATTTGCTAACTATAGAATATCGACCAGATTCCCCTGATTCAATTGTATCAGATACTGACAAAAGACCACTTTCTCTAGACTCCTTGCCTGAATGGAGACCCATGTCACCTGACTCTGTCATGCTCTTTATAGACATTAGAGGGTCTTCTCCACAGTCAAATTGGTCCATGAATGAATGTAGACCACTATCTCCAGACTCGCCTATAACACAGTATTTTCCAGCAGTCTTTGAATCAGTTTCTGTAACAGATTATAGGTCCTCGTCCCCTGAATCTGCATTATCAGAAGAGGAATGGGAATTAAATGTTTTCACCCTAGATTCTTCTCCAGAATCAACAGAATCTATAAATGATGAAAGACCTGACTTTAGATCTTTGTCCCCTGATTCTCCAATAAGTCAGTATAATGCCTTTCACTTTGAACCAACAATGGCAACAAGTTACGTATCACTGTCCCCCGAATCGATGCTATCAGACACAGATGTACAGAACGATTTATTTGATGACATAGTGATTGACCTTAGAAGGTCCTCATCAGAGTCAATCACATCACTTAATGAAAACAGACCTCTTTACCCTGATTCACCTATTCCTGAGTTCACAATAGCCACACACACATTTATCATGCCATTTACAGGCTCTCGACCATCCACTCCAGAATCAGTCACTTTGGATGTTGAAAATGAATTGTTTCAGTCCAACCTTTATCCAGAGCAAAGATCTGACTCTCCTCAGTCTATAATATCAGAGATTGAGATTAGACCACTGTCCCCTGACTCACCTGTACCTCATTTCATGGCATTATTCCATCAGAGTACTTTGCCAGTAACAGGACCTAGATCATGTTCACCTCAGTCACTGTGCTCAGAGAATACAGAATATGAACCTTACCTTGAAGATTTGCTAACTATAGAATATCGACCAGATTCCCCTGATTCAATTGTATCAGATACTGACAAAAGACCACTTTCTCCAGACTCCTTGCTTGAATGGAGACCCATGTCACCTGACTCTGTCATGCTTTTTATAGACATTAGAGGGTCTTCTCCACAGTCAAATGAGTCCATGAATGAATGTAGACCACTATCTCCAGACTCGCCTATAACACAGTATTTTCCAGCAGTCTTTGAATCAGTTTCTGTAATAGATTATAGGTCCTCGTCCTCTGAATCTGCATTATCAGAAGAGGAATGGGAATTAAATGTTTTCACCCTACATTCTTCTCCAGAATCAACAGAATCTATAAATGATGAAAGACCTGACTTTAGATCTTTGTCCCCTGATTCTCCAATAAGTCAGTATAATGCCTTTCATTTTGAACCAACAATGGCAACAAGTTACGTATCACTGTCCCCCGAATCGATGCTATCAGACACAGATGTACAGAACGATTTATTTGATGACGTAGTGATTGACCTTAGAAGGTCCTCATCAGAGTCAAACACATCACTCAATGAAAACAGACCTCTTTCCCCTGATTCGCCTATTCCTGAGTTCACAATAGCCACACACACATTTATCATGCCATTTACAGGCTCTCGACCATCCACTCCAGAATCAGTCACTTTGGATGTTGAAAATGAATTGTTTCAGTCCGACCTTTATCCAGAGCAAAGATCTGACTCTCCTCAGTCTATAATATCAGAGATTGAGATTAGACCACTGTCACCTGACTCACCTGTACCTCATTTTATGGCATTATTCCATCAGAGTACTTTGCCAGTAACAGGACCTAGATCATGTTCACCTCAGTCACTGTGCTCGGAGAATACAGAATATGAACCTTACCTTGAAGATTTGCTAACTATAGAATATCGACCAGATTCCCCTGATTCAATTGTATCAGATACTGACAAAAGACCACTTTCTCCAGACTCCTTGCCTGAATGGAGACCCATGTCACCTGACTCTGCCATGCTTTTGAAAAATATTAGAGGATCTTCTCCACAGTCAAATGGGTCAATGAATGACTGTAGACCCCTATCTCCAGACTCACCTATACCACAGTATTTTCCAGCAGTCTTTGAATCAGTTTCTGTAACAGATTATAGGTCCTCATCCCCTGAATCTGCATTATCAGATGAGGAATGTGAATTAAATGTTTTTACCCTAGATTCTTCTCCAGAATCAACAGAATCTATAAATGATGAAAGAGCTGACTTTAGATCTTTATCCCCTGATTCTCCAATATCTCAATATTATAACTTTCATTTTGAACCAACAATGGTAACAGGTTACACAACAATATCCCCTGAATCAGTGCTATCAGGAATTTATATGCAGACCGATGAATTTGATGACTTGGTGATTGATCTTAGAAGATCCTCTTTGGAGTCAATTGCATCAACTGATGAAAACAGAGCAGTCTCGCCTGATTCACCTTTTCCTGACTTCACACTATCCACACAATCATTTATCATTCCAGAGACAGGCTCCTGTCCAGCTTCCCCAGAATTGGACTGTGTGGATGATGAAAATACATTTTATCAAACTGACTTTATTTCAGAACAAAGACCTGACTCTCCCCATTCTATAATATCAGAAACTGGGGGTATACCACTGTCCTCTGACTCACCTGTACCTCAATTCAGTGTGTTGTTCTCTGAGATTACTTTGCCAGTATTAGGACGTGGATCATGTTCGCCTCAATCACTGTGCTCAGGGACTACAGAATATGAACCTTCTTTTGAAGACCTGTTTATCAGAGGCTCTTCTCCACAGTCAATTGTGTCCATTAATGAATGTAGATGCCCTGACTCACCTATACCACATTACTCAGAATTATTCATTGAACCAAGGCCAATAAAAGGACATGGGTCATCCTCGCCTGAGTCTATGACATCAGATGTTGGTTATGAGTTATATGAGTTAGAGATCAGTGCATTGAAATGTGAGAATAGGCTTCCTTCAGTGGATTTAGTATCAGAGAATGAACCCACCTCAGGTGAGATTAAATATCCTTTGGCTTATTTTAGGGCATCCCCAGCAGACTCTGAAACCTTAGTTAATGACTTTAAATTGCTCTCACCTGACTCACCTGTGCCACAGTATTTCCCAGCACTCTTTGAATCAGTTCCAGATTATAGGTCTTTATCAGATTATATGTCCTCATCCCCTAAATCTGGATTGTCAGAGGAGGAACTTAATGTTTTAACCTCAGAAGATTCACCAAAATCTATAAATGAAGGCAGGTCTCTCTCCCCTGATTCACCTATTCCCATGCCAGATTCTCCAATACTTCAGTATTATGCTTCACACTTTGAACCAGCAATGGCAACAGGATACAGGTCAACATCTAATCAGAAGATATTATCAGAAATAGAAATGCAGACAGATGTATTTGATGACTCGCTGATGGATCTTAGAACATCCTCACCAGAATCAATGACATTGGTAACAGAAAACAAACCACTGTCCCCCGATTCACCTATTCCTGAGTTCACACCATCCACATCCACATTTTTCATACCAGAATCAGATTTTATATCAACTTCCTCAGTCTCTTTGAGTGATGAAAATGAATTATATCCATCAGACCTTAGTACAGGGCAAATGCCTAGCTCTCCTGAATCGGTAATATCAGAAATTGAGCCTAGACCAGTTTCCCCTGACTCACTAAGTGATTACAGAGAAATGTCACCTCATACAGCAATATCTGTGGTAGATCATGCATCTCCAGAATTATTTACATCATTGGAAAAGTATAGGGCATTACCTCCAGACTTTGTTCCACAGTTTTCTTGTACACATAAAATATCAGCAATACATGTACACCAATCAGAGTCATCTGAGTCACCTACATCAGAGACAGACATTGAACTTTGGGCAAATGCATCTCAAGCTACTGAACAGAGACCCTCCTCCCCTGAATCAATCATATCCTTGAATGAAAAAAGACCATTATCACCAGACTCACCTATTTATGACTTTAAATCATCAGTGAATGTAAATGTTGCCCCAAAAACCACATACAGATCATCCTCCCTAGAATCAATTGTATCTGATGTAGAATTTTACATGGCGAGCTTTGCATCTGAGGATGTTACATGGACTGAAAATAGACCCTTATCTCCTGCATCAGGTGAAATATCTCCTGTGGATCAATGTAATTTAGAAATAGAAAATAATCACACTGATGATCAAAGCAAAAAATTACTTGGCCAAGAGCTATCCAACATTGTGACATATCTGCCATTAAACAAGACTTTCAGAATGGTGCCTCAATATAAACTTGTGTACAAAGCTGCTCCCTTAGCATTAATCTCCCATTTGTATGATCCTCAATATAGAGGTGAAACTTTCTGTCCAAAGCCAGGTGTGTTTGAGTATGCGGGATGTAAAAAGAAGGCAAATAATGAATGCACTGAGCAACACAATTATGACATTTCCAACAATGCTATATCTTATAGTGAAACAGCCTCACCTTTTGATGCCAGTTCTCTGCAAACACATGTACAAACAGAATCATTTGATTTATTTGTAAAAAATCAAGCATTTTCCACTGATTCTTTGTTTTATTGTACAAGTTTAAATGCATGTCTAATGGACTCTTCAGATAGGAGAGCCTCTTCACCAGAATCATATACATCTATAAATGAGTACAGGCGACTCTCTCCTGAATCTCCAATTCCTGAGCACAGACCTTCATTACCATGCGCAGAGTTTTTGTTCGAAAGTCGACCCTCATCCCCTGAGACGATTTTTTCGGTAAATGAATTTCAAAGGCTTTCACCTGATTCACCTATACCTGAATACTCAACACCATCACCAGTTCCAAATGAACATACATCTGAATCTAGCGAGGTAATCATGCAACACAAATTTATTTTGAGTCAACTGTCCCCTTCAATGAGTAATGATCAAAGTTCTTACATGGACTCATCATGGTACCCACTGCCACAATGGATCATGTCTGAAAACAGACCTTTATCATCTGTCTCAGATTTTTCAGACACTGATTCTAGATCTTTATCACCTCAAATGTTCTGTCTTGAAACAGATGTGCGAAACCCATCACCCGAAGCAGCAACATTAGACACAGCACTAACAGAAACTATTACTCCAGAACCTTTAGTTTGTGAGACATTTTATCAAGCTGAATCACCTGAATCAGTGATAATTGAATCTGAAGATGAGTTTTATGAGAATTTGAATGATTTGTCATTTTCTGACATTGATGAGATTAAGGAAGATTTACCTGTCCTCAAAATTGATCCTGCTTTGCTGAATCTAGTGACATTTGAACAATGCATGGAACAAATCGAGTCTCCAAGTGAAATAGAGGAGCTTCCGTCTGTTTCTGAAATTAGGATTGAGCATTCATTCGATGATGGACTACAACCAAATGCATCTCACGATATAGCATCCGAGCAAACACAAAAGGACACACAAAGGGTAACAAAGACAATTACTTACTGTGAAGAAAAGGACATAATCACAGCAACAAGTGAATCTGCAAATGAGCAAACTAGCAAAGGCCTCAAAATCCATAAAATAGATGAAAATAGACACATGGAAAGTCCACAGCAACAAAAAGAAGATCTAGGACATGATTTAAGAAAACTAGCCCCTAAGGATGACAAAAAAAGGGTAAGAAGATAAGCATGCTGCTGTGAATCTTGTGTGTTCATAACAATGTATGGACCAAGAGGAATGTAGTGTCAGATCTGCCCTAAAACAGATTTTCACAGTTCTTGATCTACTAACAAATCAATACTAATTGGACAACTCTTGAGGAGTGTGCAGCTTACAAGATAATAGTCAGTTTTGAGAATGTTTACTAATTCACCATAATTATTTTGATGTAATTTTAAGACTGCATTGTTTGTAATGAGACTTATTCTCAACTGCATGTTTGAATCGTAGTATTAAGGGATGTCCGTATTGATGTTAAGGCATGTCATTTTTTTTCAGTGTTTCCATGCAATGGAATGCAAAATCTGTTGGATTTGCTTTGTCATTTATACAAATAGGGAGAAACATTGTTTTCTTTCCTTTCATTTTTGCACAGGACAGTGTCTCAGAGGAAATTAATTTAGTGCCTCAATTGAAAGATTCAAGTCTAAGAAAAGGAGATGCACCATCAGTTTCAAAAAGTTTAAATTTAACAGCATCCTTGATGCCCAGTGAATCATCAAAAGAGACATATTTAGCCACATGTGTCTCCTACATACCTGAGCACAACAGATCTCAGCCTGTCTTTGATTTGGAGGCCCACAAATCCATTCCTGTTTCATCACCTGAAGAAACTAAAGCATTAAATGGATTGCAAGAAGTAAATTCTTTTCAGTTTCATCTTAAAGACTCTCACAGAAGAGTTGAACTAAATCAAATTGATTCCTCTGCATTTAGTTTAGGTCTTGAATCACGTGATTTTAAAAATTTGCCCTCAAGTTCTGTGAAAACACCATCAACAGGCACTCCCATTTCACATACATTTAACACATCCTCTTCTGATCAAGGGAATTCTCCAGAGTCCCACAAATTTCTAGGCAAGAGAATATCTTGTGCTGCAGGGACTGTCCAGCTTTCGTCAGATTTTAAATGTGTTGTCTCTAAATTTGAACAGGCATCACCATCTTTAGGTGGTGATAAGCCTGAACTAAGTTTAGTTTTTCCTGGAACTTATCCACTTGTAGCTGCTATGTCACCTTGTACTCTGGAAGTGACTCAGGAGCTGACAGGTGACCAGATGCAGTTAGATGCCACTGCAGTTTTAGATACTGACTCTCCACTTTACAGTCTTAATCTTAGAGCCAGGCCAAGAGCTGTTCATGCAGATAGCATTGAGTCAGAGGCTGAGTTTTTTGATTGCCAACAAACGTTTTCTGATACATCTGAGCCAGAGGTCAGATCATCAGAAGTTTTAGATGTTCCTCAAACAATTTACCATGTTGAGGAACTTCCATCTTTATCAAGCAGTCCTGAATATCTGACAGGCATCTCTAAACTTAGAGAGCACACACAGTTGAAAAAGGATGAGCGGCCCTTATCCTGGGCCAGTGAGGACCTACCCATAGTTCTTGAGCCAGAGGATGAATACACTGGTGAGGTTGGTGAGGAGAAGGATTTCCCTTATGATTATACAGGTGATCATTCATTTGCTGAAGAGCTACCTACAATAGAGGGAGCAGAATATGATGACGATGATGACTCTCTAGGGAGGGTAAGCAATCTAGCATGATGTTTGTGCTCAGTTTCTGAAGGCAGAGTGTTGTCTCTCCCTGGCCTATGCTAACAAACTTACTCAAGCCCTAATGGAACATTTTAAAACATTTCAATACCAGCAAACTAATATTTGGTGTTTTGATTAAAAATAAACATAGTTTATGTGTGTGCACCCCATTTGCCTACACTTAAAGTGTTGGATATAATGTGACAATTGACAAGCAGCAATATTTTTCTTAACTGCATGGAAAAAGAACTTCCAGAGTGCAGGCTTTGCATGGTGTGACGTGCAAGTATACAAGATATACGACAGTACTTAAGACATGCGACCACAATGCCTCTCTGCTACTCTTAGGAAATAGCTGAAGAACTAGGTTTGCTGTCTGATAGTTCAGAGGAGGAGGTGTTGACCACCAGGGTGGTGCGGCGCAGAGTTGTAATTCAGGTACCTGTTTTGGGTGTGCGCGCTTGTGTCATTGGACCTCCATTTCCATATTTTGGTGTTATATTGAACAAAAGTGTTTTCATTTGTTGGTACAATGATATATAAATAAACATATGTGTTAAATAGTAACATTATATTTAATTTCCCATAAAAAGGATTTGTCTCAGGACTTTCTATTGACATTTTCAAAAAATATTATATAAATTATAAGGGAATATATACTAAGTAAAAAAAACAATTTGACTGTATATCAATTTGAATATGTGTGGAGTCGATTTCCATTATCTTCTTACAGAAAAACTTAATGTGTCTCATTAATGAAACAGAACACATTTCTTTGTCAATAACATGTTCAATTAAAACAGCTTTTACAAACACATTAATTAATTTTGTCACATGTATGTATTTTTATGATATTTTTTAGGGTGACGAGATGCCTGAAATCCCTCCTCAGACTGTGACAGAAGAGAAATACACTGACGAGTATGGGAACATGGTGGTCAAAAAGGTAAATGCTTTAACTTTCATCTTTTCTGTGTCTTTACACGGATTCAGGGATTTTGCCCAACAACTGCTACAGTTGGTAATGTAAAAACCCTGCAGCATAATCCTTTTAAATGATTAATTGTAGGTTGCCTGTAAAATAATGTATGCTATTTTAAAGAAATATGAATTGCCTTATCATTTACAATGAAAATTTTGATTATATATTTTTTTAAATAGTTCAAACGTTCTTTAAATAGTGTTTAATGCTGTAATGAATTATGAACACTGGAGTGTTTTAGTTGATATTTTAGGTACTTAACTTAATGTTTATTGGATTATTTTAGTCTCATGCATTTTTTTTTCCTGTGATTGACCAAACCATACTTTTTTTTCCAGCTGATGAATGATAAAAACATCCCAATCAGAATCAATCCTGCTATAACAAGCTTGATGATATAAAGCAGCAGACGTGTGTGCTTAGAATAAACAGATGATATTGTCTGCTAGTGTGGATGCTTATATAGTTATCGTTCTTGAACAAGCCTTTAGTCTTAGCCTCAAGCTTCACACAAACAGAATGACCGCAAACCTTTTGAAGAGAATTTGATACATATTGCAAACACACAAAACACTTTTTCATTATTATTTTCTTAAAATGCTTGAAGATGGTAGCACAGACAGTATACCTTATTTTTAAAGTTTATATGATAACCTTGATCATTTCCATCCTTGTGTAATTTTCTCCACACAGATAACAAGGAAAGTCATCCGTAAGTATGTGTCAGCAGATGGAGTAGAGAGAGAGGAAGTGATGCTGGAGGGTCCGCAGCAGGAAGCTGTCACTGTGGATGAGGCTGACGGTTTCTCTAAAGCTGTGAAGAGGACAGTGGTGCAGAGCGGGGGAGAGCAGACCGAGGTGTGCAGGGGCGTAGTTTATGGAGGGGATAGGGGGGATATAACCCCCCAATAACCAAAACTAACAAGTACAACCCCCCCCACCAATATTTATACCATGGTTAATGGAAACCTAGAATCAGGCTATTAATTAATTATTTGAATCGCGCCTTCAGCGCTTTTATAATCACTAACTTTAACTTACAACGGAGCAGTTTGCAGCACAATATGACTGAAGCACGGATCACTGGCGCGCTCGAGAATTGTGATGAGATTGTGGTGAGCCATTCCTATCACGAAGCTGATGGTCAAATATGTGATCTATTTGAATAATTTAGAGAACCAGCAATTTTAAAATGCTATGGAGAAAGTTGAACAGTATCTAAAAAAGACTGATGAAAAGAGGAGAAAACTGTCTTGAACCAGCACTAACGTATATTAAAATCTCATGACCACCTTTACTAGAATTTATCACATTTTATTGTAGGCTTATTTATTGTGTATAATTTAGTCTAACTTGTTGTAGAATTTATATTAGATAATCTGTTAAGGGAATAGATATTTCCCTATAGATTTATATTACAACTGTGGCATGTTGTAGCTATTTGTTCTGAATGTGCAGGAGGTTGTTTCTTCATAACAAATGCCATATTGATTAATTAAAAAAAAAAGTAATTATTGGCATGGTAATGATTAATAGGCTAGTCTTATTATAACAAATGCTAGTTAAGATCTATGGTACATGGCCTTCAGAGATTCTAAAAGATGTCAGATTAAATCATCAAGAGCCTGATCAACTGTTAAGGAGTAAGAAATAATATCAATATGAGAAAATGTTAAGTTAGATTGACTTCCCATGATAGCACAAAAGACCATTTCACAAAAAATAAATAGGCCTAAATAAGCAAACAAACAAATAAATAAACCTTATGAGTGAGCATGACCCCCGAACACCCCCCCAAATGTTCAAACCAAAACTACGCCTTTGGAGGTGTGAGACCCTCCAACATGAATATCAGTCATATTTGTTTAGTGAATTGACATTTCCTTTAGTAATTTCCATGCTTAATTTTGTCAGTTCAAATATGTTGTATGTGATTCTGTTATTTTCACAGTTCTTTTCGTTGTTCTGTCATATTTAACTTTCATTTAATGGCTCATTTAATGACTCATCAGTGCTCATTTAGAGCTTCTGCAGTGCAGCGGTTCAGTAATCACATGATATTTTTCTGCCATAATGTTAGGGAACCACTCATTATACACACTTTCTTTGCCATTTAAATTTCTGTACGAACAATTTAACTACAAACTTGCCAGCAATTTGAGTGAGTAAGGAATGTGTGCTGTTTTGCATCAACTATAGAGATTTGAATATTGAATTCATATTCCATATTGTATTAAGTCAATGCATTTACATTATAGACCTTCTTAAAGGGATAGTCCACATACAAATTCAAATGGTCAGCATTTACTCCCCCTCATGTCGTTCCAAACCTGTATGACTTTCTGTATTTCTGTGGAACACAAAACAATATATTTTGAAGAGTGTTGGTCACTAAACAGTTTTGGTTCTTATTCACTTTCATTGTATGTACAAAAGTGCAATGGAAGTCAATGGGAACTAAAACAATTTGGTTATCAAAATTCTTTCATTTGTGTTCAGCAAAAGAAAGAAAACCCTAGTTAAAAACTGCTAATTCATTACCACGCATATAGTATAGGCCTCCTCTGTCAAAGTAATGCTAATCATTTAGCATCTCTTGTCTATGCATTTCAGGTAATGTTCTCTGAACCTTTATCTTACATTGGGGCGACATCTTCTGAGTTCGAGGAAGAGCCTGTCCAAGGTCGGAAGGTCAGCAAAGTCATCAAAACTATGGTTGTGCAAGGTGAACGAATGGAAAAACTAATTGGAGACCCTTCACTCTCATCGGATCTCCCATCAGCCAAAGACGACTTTGAAAAGGTCTAGATATTTGCTTCTTGTCTAATGCAGTGACATTTAAACATTTCATGGATGCTATCCAAATACTTTATTGGTCATAGTAAATACTATAGTAAATATTATGTATGCCATATAGCTTTATTTTCAACACTATCTCACTGTTCAAGAGGTACTAAATGTCTTGTTTGCATTCTCTTCTCGGCTCATTTCTCTCTCATACTGTATGTCTAGGCTTTGAGCTATGTAGGAAGCTTTGGAAAAGTGCACCTGCCTCATTTAGTTGAGAAAGAGATGGTCAAAGAGGATGGATCAGTGGTCAGAAGGTCTGGACATTGGCACGTCCGTTTAACATGTAGCTGTTTAGGAGAATGGTGTGATAATAAAAGAGCAGTTACTAATACCTAATCCACCAAGTGTTACAACAAAATGCATTTTTTAAATATGTCCAATTATGCCCCTTTTTACAAGAATGGTGTCCCCAGATTCAGAGTGTCTCTGAAGTTTCAGCTCAAAATGTCCCACAGATCATTTATTATACCATACTATAAACGTCCCCTTTTGTCTGGAAGCAAAAACATGCTGTTCTTGAAAGCTTATGTTCCAAAACATGTGAATGTAAACAGCTGCATGTGTATCAGTCTATTAGATCTAGATTCAGACACAGGAGAGCAGGACAAACAATAAGGCATCACCTCCTGCTGTATGTGTGTTTGGTTGTGGCAGGCATTTAATACAAATTTCTGCATATTTATGTCTGTAGCCCTTTCTAATAGCACAAAATAATCATTCACTTGCTTACCAGATCCCCTTATATTATTTATTGCTTGATCTTTTCATTCATGGCAAATAATGGAAACATTTTAACTGCATTATGGCTGAATGTCTTTTTTGTTTTGTTCCTGACTCCTGATTTTTTTTTTTTTTTTT